AATACATTCAACTTTATTGTTGACTTCTCAGCAAGGAAATCTCTAGTCCAGTCTCAGCTGTGCTTTTCTTTCACCTGGATTCTCCTTTCCTTCTCTCCTTCAAGGCTTAGCCTCATAACCCTTAGTCCATGACGCCTTCCCTTGGAGACTTCAGGGCATAGGGAGTGGTCTGTTCCCTGAACTCCTCGGAGCCTGGTTGCCTCTCTCTCCCTACCTACACTGGTCTCTGCCCAGACTGTGGGCCCCTCCAGGACAGGGACCCTCCACTGGTATAGCCCTCCACAGCACAGCACATGCTCTGGATCCCGATTTACACTCAAGGTGGGAGAAGGAGAAAGACATTCAGGAAAGATGTTCAGGAAATTGACATCTTCCTGTGACACTGGACTGGCAGATACAGCACGTTTTCTCCTTCTAAAGTCTCTGGGTTGTGTCTTATAATAAAGTCTAAAAGTTTAATCTCTGTTTAGTAGGCACAACATGCAAAAAATAAAGTGTCATTATTATTATTAGCATTTTCTTACTAACAGATTTTTCAGAAGCTGTTTCCATATCAAGCAGACCAACCTTTCTGTTGTCATAGAGACAAAGATCTTTATATAACCATAGGCAAGGTGAGATTTTTTTTTTCTCTTTCTCTCCTTCTACTTGTCTGGAACTAATAAGAAAAGGAAAAGAAAATTTTTAAAATTAATTATTTTAGATTTTTTTCCTCCAGTTAAAATGAGTGAACACATGGGAGGCTTTTTTTTTTTTGTATTACATTTTAGATTTTAAATACTTAAATTTTTAATAAAATACTGTTGGGCTAGAAAGATCTGAACAGCAGAATGATACCATTTTCAAAATTTGAAGGCAGTGGGCTTATTAATGATAAGCAATTATTATCTATGTTCCTTTTTTTTTTTTAAACCAAACAGTGGACTTCAGATGGAAGTCTTATAAGGCAGGACTACCAAGACCTGAAATGATTAAAACATAAACTAGCATCTATTGATGGACCAGTGATGAATTCTGAGGTTCTCTGTGATACTCACTGTCCAACCCCCAGAATTGAGAGAGCCACCCTTCACTCCACAAAATCAAACCCTGTGGATGACTTAGTGCAAGACTACATCCTTCTTATCCTTTATCTCATAATTTCAACTCTCTTCTTTTTATGAACCCCCAATAACTTGTTATTTGTGTCATTTTCTGTCTCATAATTACTGTTTACCACTTCATTCATCATTAAGAAAAGAGGATTTCAGCATGAGCCCATTCACTTTTTCTTTCCTTTGCCTCAGTGTTAAATTACACCTTTATCCATCTGTCTTCTTCCCTCAGGACTCAGAAGTATCCCTCTATTTTAAGAATTACCCCTTCCCCTCTGATCTGATGCCAGTGCCTTCCTCCCACTCACACTGACATCTTATACCATCATTTCTTGCATCTTCAATCTGTCCTTCTCTATAGATTCCTTCCTCTACTCCTTTTTGAAGAAAAGACCAGAAAAATAAGAAATAATGTTTCTTAATCATGTTTGTTTTTCCATATGTCTCAGACTTTGAGGTTTTAATCTGATCACAACTGCCTTTTTTTGTTGTTTTTGCAATAAATAGGTATTGTCTATGTATGTGTGTGTGTGCCAGAGTGGATGTTGGAGGAGACGGAGAAGAGAAGTTTATGGCACACAGACGTTCTAACCATTCTTCTTGCTTTCCAGAAGATCATATCCTCCATGGAGAGCAACTGGGACTTCCCAGGTGGCGGTAGCTGTAGAACCCGCCTGCCAATGCAGGAGATGCAAAAGATATGGTGTTCAATCCCTGGGTTGGGAAGATCCCTTGGAGTAGGAAATGGGTAACCCACTCCAGTATTCTTGCCTGGAAAATTCCATGGACAGTGGATTCTGGTGGACTGCAGTCCACGAGGTTGCAAAAGTTGGACATGACTAGCGACTGAGCACTGGAGAGCGGTACTTCAATGCTCAGACTTTAGCATCTTTCAGAATCTCTCAGGGAGGTTGTCAAATGCAGACTGCTGGACTATACCCTTGGAGTTTCTGATGCAGTAGACTGGGGCTGGGGCCTGAGAGCATGCATTTCTAACATTTTCCGGGTGATGTTTATGCTCCTGGTCTGAGCAACATTGTCTTAAAGAAGCTACACTCCTTTTAATTCTTATGCAACTCTCTTGTCATGTGCATGTTTAAATCACCCTTATCATGCTGAGAAACTTGTCCCCCTTTGGCCTCTATCGGCTCCACCTCCATTGGGTTCTCCCTTGAAGGATAAAGTCATCTCTCAATTATCCGATCCTTGGGAAGCCTGGCCTTGTGAGGGTCAGAGTGTGTGCTGAACCACGGGGTTTAAAAGTCTAGAAGCTGCTGCTGGCGTGTAGGACAAAATAGTGCATGTGAAGGGAGGAAGGTCAAGGAGTCTGTAGCATTCCCCAGGCATGTTAAGGGCTCAGAGCCTGGGCAGTTGGCTCCTTTTGGGGAATGTGACTAGGACTAGCCAGCCCCAGCATGCTAACAGTGCTTATACTGTGCCTGCTTCCCACCTTCATCCCCAAACGCAGCCAACCTTGTAAATCTTTCTGAGGAGTCCGAGGCTTCTCTAAACTGTACTCTGGGGGCAGTGAGAGAATCTGTTGAGTTTTAGTCTTTTCACTTCAGCCTACTCCAGGGAAGAGGTACTCCCTTCCTGAGACCAGTGTGGGTGTGGCAGCAGGAACTGTTGAGAGAGCCCAGTGAGAAGCTGAATCTGAAAGGAGCTGGGACTTGACTCTCATTCCTGTCTCCATCAGGAGGTGCTCTCTGCGTGTGTGCTCAGTCACTTCAGCCATGTCTGACTCTTTACCACCCTATGGCCTGTAGTCCGCCGGGCTCCTCTGTCCATGAGATTTTCCAGGCAAGAATACTGGAGAGGGTTGCCACATACCCACTCCAGGGAATCTTCCTGACCAGGGATCAAACCCATGACTCCTGTGTCTCCTGCGTTGCAGGTGGATTCTTTACCACTGAGCCATCAAGGAAACCCCAGGAGGTTCTCTGCTGCTGCTGCTGCTAAGTTTCTTCAGTCGTGTCCGACTCTGTGCAACCCCATCAATGGCAGCCCACCACCACCAGGCTCCCCCGTCTCTGGGATTCTCGAGGCAAGAACACTGGAGTGGGTTGCCATTACCTTCTCCAATGCATGAGAGTGAAAAGTGAAAGTGAAGTCGCTCAGTCCTGTCTGACTCTTAGTGACCCCATGGACTGCAGCCTACCAGGCTCCTCCGCCCATGGGATTTTCCAGGCAAGGGTACTGGAGTGGGGTGCCATTTCCTTCTCCCAGGAGGTTCTCTACTCAATGCCAATTTGGCAAAACTGAGAACTTAAAGGAAGGGGTAATTTCTTACAAAAACGAGAAACTATTAATAGCAAGTTAAGTCCTATCTTTGCAACTCAGTAGCTGTGGGACCTTGGGGAGGTTTTTCTACCTCTTTGGATCTCAGTTTCTTATAACCTGTGTGATGAGTAATGTGTGAGTAAGAAAGGCACAGTGTTGGTGGCATAGTCACCCATGAAAGCAAGATGGGAGGCTTGTCCGGGAAGGACAAGGGCTGGGACTTGGAAGGCATTTTCCATGGATTTATTTATTGATGGAAACAAATTCTATCAGCATGGTCCTTACCTTCAGGGAATTGAGCTGACAAGATAATTAATGGAAACCAATTAATATAAACTCCTCAACCTTTACACTGTATCTCTCAACCATAAATATTCTCCAAAGGCCACTAACTCTTCCAGAGGAGAAGCTCAGCCCCTCAAGAGCCTGGAGGGGCTGAGCTTCGAAGTGGGCTCCTCACAGACTTCTGGGAGCCCATGGAAATGGGGTGGGGGGATCTCCTTCCTCCCCCAGCATGGAATTCCATCACAGCTGTTGGTTAGAACAGAACCAAGACCTCCACCAGCCTGGCGCCTTTGGTATATGTTTATAGTCCTCTTCTTTCTCTTTCCTTTTCTCTTTTAACAACTTCTACCAAGATGTAATTTATATGCAATACAATTCACCCATTTTAATTGTATAATGTAATGTTTTTTAGTTTGTTCAGGGAGTTGTGCAACCATGACCACCATCGAATTTTAGATAATTTTCATCACCTCAAAAAGCAACAGCATTAGCAGTCACTGGGCCTTCACTCCAACCGATGGCTGCTAATCTCCTGTTTGTCTGGACATGTCATATAAACAGAACCATGTACCTTGTGCTGCCTTTTTCCCAAATCGAAAGTCTGCTGACACTCTGATACACTTGTGCCAAAGGCCCTCCTCTCCTCTTTACCCCATCAGTCTTTACCCCAGCTTCCTCTGCCTGCCCGCCCAAGTGTCCAGCTCCCTAAGGGGTGGTGGTGTGCCAGAGCTGGCACTCAGGGCCTCTCACTGATTAGGCAACCAGATTGAAACGCAAGCGCATCTGCTCAGATAGCCAGGCTGAAACCCAAGTCCATCTGAGGCTGGGGTGGAGCAGTGGCTGGTATGCTCACAGAGTTGTAGGTGGCCCTGCTGGGCCAGCAGACCCCACTGAGTGACCAGGTCACCTCTGGCCATCAGGCCTGAGCACCCCATTTCTGGAGGACCACAGGGTACCAGAATTCACAGGAACCTTCGCCAGCCTGGCTGGCCCAAGGCTCAAAGAGCACGCAAGACTTCTCGTGTCTGACGCCCCGTCCCCTTTCCGCAGTTGCTGGCAGAGGCCTTCCCATGTGGCCTGTGGGCAGTTCCACGCCCCTGGCCATGGCCCCGTCCAGGGTGAAAGAGTGGGTCTGGGGCCGCCAGGGGCTGGAAGGTGCACGGGGCCCAGGCGCGGGAGAGCGTGGCAAAGACAGCTCCCAAGCTTGGGCGTCTCATCACCCTGAGAAGTGCTGGAGTTCGACAGGCACCGCGTCTTTCTCCAAGCATCCAGGTAAAGGGGTCAAAGAGCAGGGAGGCCAGGCGGCCGGAGGGTGCCTGGGCGGGGGCGCCGCGTACTCACAGTCGGCTGAGGCCGGCCCGCGGGCCGGGGCAGCGCAGGGCGCCGTCGGGAGGGCAGCTGCAGGGCTCCGGGCAGGGCTCCGGGCGCAGCGCCCAGAGCAACGGCGCTGGCGGCAGCAGCAGCAGCGCCAGCAGCAGCCGCAGCGCGAGGGACGGCCGTCCCATGGCCGGAGCCGGAGCGCGGGCTCCTGCCGCAGGGCCGGCCGCCGCCCCAGCAGCCACAAGTGCGGCCCGCGCCCCTCTCCCCGCCCCCTGGCCTGCCCTCCGTCCTCCCACGCCGCCCGCCCCGGCCCCCCGCCCCCGATGGCGCCCCCGCGGCTGAGCCTCGCACTCCCTCCACTCGCGACGGTGGTCCATCACCTCCTTTCTGCTCTGCTCCCTGGCCCATCCTGCCCATCTGCAAGTGGCCCTAGGTACAAGAGGCAGCATGTGGAGGTGGTGAATGCTTTGGATAAGGGAAGAGGACGGAGTTCTGAACTCTCCCGGCTCTGCTCTAACTATGTGTGAAGTCCAGGGAGAACCTCTCATTTCATCGGTGACAGGGGCAGACTGATGGTCCATCCCAGCTCTGTCCACTTCAGAAGCGGGGAAAGTGCCGAGCTCAGACGCTCCTGCTCCTGTCTTTCATTCTCAGCCCCCAAATCCTTTCCCCTTTTCTCCCACCAACTCCCTCATCCTATAGTTAATCTCTGTCCTCTCAACATCCCCAGTAATGTCTCTGTATTTCTCTCAGTAGGAACCACTTTCCTCCTTATAGGCATTTGAGTGTGTTCTCTATCTTCACTATAGATCGTGAAGTCCAGTTCGGGTTTATTTTATATTTCTGGTTTCTACATGGTAATTCCTCAGTAAAGATTTGCTGAATGAATGAAACTGCTGTAATAATGAGCTGCAGCTGCCCCAGTGGGAGGCAGGCCCAGGATAGGCTAGACCCTGTGACAGGCTCTCTTCCTCATATCATGTCTAAGTTTCATCATAAGCAGGAAGGGTGTTTGCAAGGAGCAAAATGATGTCCTGAGAGGTGACGTGACTTCGTTGAAGTCACACATCTCTTAAGTGGTGGAAACGTGTTTGAACTCATGTCTATCACCCACTTTATCTTGCCAATAAAGAAAATTAAGTATATGATCTGCATACCAAGGACTTGGAAAGGAGATGTTTTTTGGTTAACTGCCATGATGCAAAATTTAATTTTGCATTAATTTAATTTCATCATTAATTTTATCAGTTTATTTATTTTCATTTAATTTCATCATTAGAACCCTTGACCTTCCCTCTTTCCTAGGACTCTGTTTGGACCCTGAAAAGAGGTAGACTTTGAGAGCTGGGAAGATGTCTAAGACTACAGACAGGAAGTAAAAAACGGAGTTCTTTCTGACTTGAAGCTAACATTCAAGGTCAGATGGGTTAAGTCACTAATCTGCAACTCTTGTGAGTCTCTTGCCTGCGGAAGATAGTTTTTTTTTTTTTAATTAAAAAAAAATCGTTTGGCTTTGGCCACATTGTGCTGGATGTCATGAAAAATCAAAGCTTCTGTCTGTAATACTGGGTCTCTCTCTTTTGCTGCTTACCTGATCTCCTCGCCCTTTCATACTACTGTATATGCTGTTCATTTACCTGACATGATTTTCTCTTCCTTTTCCATATTCTATCAGGTAAACTTCTGGCTGTCCTTCAAAATTCAGCCCAAAGTCACTTCTACCATAACACTTTCTTGAACCCAACCTAGCTAAGTAGTTGTACCCATAGCACTTGATTTTATAGCCCATAATATAACACTCTGTAAGATCCCCTGGAGAAGGGAAATGGCAACTCACTCCAGTATGCTTGCCTGGGAAATCCCGCGGACAGAGAACCTGGTGAGCTATAGTCCATCAGGTCACAAAAGAGTCAGACATGCCTTAGTGACTAAACAACAACAACAACACTTATTGCTTTAGTTTTGCTTCCCTCTGACTATTCATCTTAGTATTGTTAGGACATCTCATAGTTTCTAGCTCCTAGTAGGTGCTGCTCAGTATATATCTGTTGAATAACAGAATGAATAAATGAAACCCAAGCACAAATCTATAGTAGATGTTTAGTAGATAATCTGAGATGAGCTTAACAGACTTGCTTGATTAATTCTCAACCGTTATGGATCTATCTGGTAAGTACCAAGGATTCTCATGTCTGGGGCATCCCAGGAGGCACTAGCGGTAAAGAACCTGCCTGCCAATGCAGGAGATGTAAGAGATGTGGGTTTGATCCCTGGGTTGGGAAGATCGCTTGGAGGAGGGCATGGCCACCCACTCCAGGATTCTTGCCTGGGGAATCCCAGGGACAGAGCAGCCTGATGGGCTACAGTCCACAGAGTCACACAGAGTCAAAATGACTGAAACGACTTAGCAAGCATGCATGAGCTGATGACTGCTTTGAGATCACATTTCCTCTCTTCTAATTTGCCAGATTTTTGTAAGGAAGTTGGGGTAGCACTGGACTTTTCAAAGGTTTCCACTATGTAGCCTGAATTAAGGAGAGAAGAAATGAATAATTCAAGGTGGCCAAGTAGCATTTATTTCAAGTCTTATGTTTTATGTGGCTTTTTCTTTTTTTTACTTCATAGCACATGTTATGTAAAATGAATGGCTGTTCATTTGATTCTGTGCTTAGATATCCTCAGGACTTCTTATATTCCAGTAGGAGAAGTCTTGGGCAGTCAGGATATCCTGACAGTCATCACTAGTGTGACTTGGTCTTTGGTTTCCTCATCTGTAGGAGAAGGGGTTGGAGTTCACAGTCCCTAAGTCTCTTCTAGCTTTGAAGTGCAAAGACTCTGTGGTTAGCACTTACGTATTGGTGGTGGAAAGAGTTGGATTGAGTATATTGACTTCTTATTGCTTGTCTTGGATTGGAAATACAATCCTGTTTGTGAAGAAGTGCAATTGTTTATTTGGAAGAAAACTCACAACTATAATGAGTTTTCATAGAATGTTTCTATCTCTGATTAATTTCAGTTGAATCTTAATGATCACATTAGTTCTTGCAGTGTACCTATTATAACAAAATCTTGTGGAATTGTTTGCTGTAATCGTGAAAGTTTGTTACAATGGAATTTACCTATCCTGCTTATTAATATGTGATCTATTTAGAGTGAATATTTTTAAATCTGAAGGACTTCTGTGTCATATAACTCTGCTCATAGTTACTTTTGTCACAAAACTTCAAAAGAGCATGACCCACAAGCATTGCTAATTATTTTTGCTGACAAACTAAAGTTCATGAAATTCATAAGAATTTTAATTCTACTTTAGAGTTTAAAAATATCTGACACTACAACTTAGAAATCCTAGAAATCCTCTCCAGAATTCTAGAACAGAGCCTCTCATAATGTGGGGTTGCAGAAGAATCATTTGGGAAGTTTTAAAAACAAAGGTCCTTGATACACTATCTAAAAAGATTCTGAATCTATTGGCATAGACTGGGGCCCAGAGTCTGTGTCTTAACAAGCACCTTATGTAATTTTGAGTCCCCACAGCACAATTCATGAAACTCCAAAATGGAAATTCTAGAATTGCTTGGGAAGACAAAGTTCAAGAATCTTTACTAAGAACTCTGAGTGAAGCCTAAGAATTGTGATGCATTGTTAAAGAAATCTGGTATATATAATAACATGCATGCATGCAAATAGTATTGTCTGTGTGTGAGTGCATGTGTGCAAAACTGCTCAATTGGTTGTAATGCTGAAGAGTTTTTCCTTTTAAGTAGCAATTGGTTTAAGTGTTTTCTTTTATGGTGGAAGCGAGCAACTTTAGAAGATCATGGATCCTGTTTATCTCCATGTCTTACTAGATTAACTCAACAGCACTTAATGTCATACTAAGACACTGGAGTTGGAAGAAGTCAGCAAAGTTAAAAAAAACAAAACAAAACCACAGAACACCTCAGGTAGAATAGGCAAGATTTTGTGAATTTTGAACACATACCCATTAGTACCATAACTTGTACTTCTTCCTCTTAAAAGCAGTAGTGTTAACCTTTTCCTCAGAAGAAAGGTGAATGTAAGGGCAGAGGAAGGAAAAAAAATGTGTAAGAAAAGAAAAAATATAGAATGATGTCTGTGAGTTGTCCACCCTTGCTACTTGAGACGAAAAACAAAGAAAATTTTAGAAGGTGATCCCTGAAAGTTATACTCTGAAACTTTGTGCAACCTCTTTGCTGCTTGCTTAGAAATTTCATCATGGCCTATGTGGTGTGAAAACAGAGATGTGGTCAGCTGTGCACCACCTCCAGGGTGGCCCTGGGGTTCCTGTGGGCCTTGAGAAAACTTAAAACTACAGGCTGAATAGCACCTGGGCCCTGGTCCTAGTGATGGATCTGGAAACAGAGGGTGAAGGCTGATCTGGGACATGAGAATCCTTCTCTAAGGCTAACAGACAGAGAGAGAGAGAGAGAGAGAGAGAGAGAGAGAGAGAGAGAGAAGGGGCCTTGCTTTTATGATTATGTTGCTGGAAGACTGAATAAATTGAGAATTGCTATTTTTCTTGTCTCCTGGCAAAAGCCTGTCTTTTCTGGCCGTGACTCAAGCTACAGAGAGAAAAACAGAGATGAGAGACAGATGGGGCAAGCAGACCTGAGGCTAGTACCTCCCTTGGACTTGCCAATGTAATAAGCCAACACGTCCCCTCTTTTGCTTAAAAGCTAATTGAAATAGCATCTCCCTCATTTGCAATCAAAATTCCTAATCTCTACTGTCAGCCTTGCCATGACCTTTATTTGAACTGCATACTTCCACCACCCCTTCTCAGCTGGGAAAGAAATAGGACTTTTCTCTTTTTATATCTGTCATAGGACTTATCACAAACACCAGTGAATTTTCCCCCTTTACGCTGGCAGATCTTATCACAGTGCTTCTGGGAATAAACGAGTGGAGTGAGTAAGTGAACAAATGAATGAATGATGAATGAGTGAACAAGAAGTAGTGACATAGAAACACATTATTATTTCTAGCGAAGCTGCATTTGGCTAAAGAATTCACAAAGCATTCTTTGCATTTTAGGCAATGCCTCCCAGCAAACTGTGACCTTGGTTTAGAAATTAAATTTCAAGCTTTAATATTAGCTAGAGTCTATATAAGGAAGGAGAGAACACTTTCTGAGATGATGAAATAAATCCATGAGGAAACA